GTGTCCACACATAACACTGAACTGGTACATGGAGGACCAGTTTGAAATAATACCTCATTATCCAGGTTTGCTTTTGAGACATTTCAGGAGGTTTTAACAATTGGAAACTGACTTGTACATGTGGATGCTTGTGGTTTAAACTGCATTTAAACTGGTTTAAGTGTTATGTGTGTCCACACCGTGCATCTTTCCCCTGGCTCCGTACTGGTATCCTGGGATCATGGAGCTCCCTTGTGAATGTCATCCAGGCCCTAGCAGAGGTCCTGTGGAGCTGGAGTAGTTCCAAGCTCCTGCTTGCTTCTGTGTTCCAGTGTCCTGTGGTGCCTGTTTCTTATAGCAGTCATTAACTTACGCATTTTGAAATATGTAATTGAATTGCTTACATGACTTACAAAACAGTCTCCAGCCAACCTGGAAACTGCCTGTTGGCTATTGTGTGCAGCAGGAACACTGCCTTCCTTCAGTGCTTAGGTAAGATTGCTTGAGTTCTTATAGTGGTGTCTGAGGTCAGGACATGTTCTGTTCCACGTAACTGGTTGGCTACAACTGAATGTAACATGCACTGTCATATTGTACAACACAAACTGAGAAAAGAGAGGTGTTGATCCATAAGGAGGAGAGTCGGGATACACACATGGCAGCACAGAGCCCCCCTGACCCAATGGTGTGTGACTCCCCATGGCTTCCAGTCCGTGTGCCTTCGGGCCAGGCGGGCTCTGTGCCACCATGTGCAGCTCCCAGGTCTCTTTCTAGGAACCACACGCCATCGGGCCATCTGGGCTGGTTCTGTGCCAGCATGTGGGGCTCCCAGCACTGCAGCTGAGAGTGCGCACTACCAGGCTGGCTGGCTGGCCTGGCTCTGTGCCTCCACTTGCAGCTTCCCATTGGAGTGCTGGGAGCCCCACATGCTGGCACAGAACCAGCCTGGTCTGGGCCGAAGGCAGCTCCCAGGTCTCAGCCAGAGTCACACACTACGAGGGGACTCTGTTTGCCATGGGCCAGGAGTGCCTGCCACCTGCTGCTGCTGCCATCAGCAATGGAAGGTGTGGTGGTGGGGCCCACACCCACACGTGCACCATCAGGCCAGCTGGGCTGGCTATGTGCCAGCGTGTGGGGTTCCCGGTACTACAGCCGGGAGTGTTTGCCACTGGGCCGGACTGGTTCCTTGCCTCCACATGGGGTTTCTGGCCCTGCAGGCAGGAACTCCCCTCCCAAATCACAAGCTGTCCAATCAAGCAGCATTGCCCTCAGTGTCTCCCAATGGGGCTCTGAGCTGGAGTGCCGGGAGCCTCGCGCAAGTGGAGGCGCAGAGCCTGCCCAGTTTGATGGTGCCCAACCTCTGAAAGCCCGTGCCTCCCACCAACTTTCAAAAGGGCAGCCGTGGGCCAGATAGGATGGCCTGGAAAGCCAGGGTTTCCTGCCCCTGCTCTAGACCCTCTCTAACTCGAGCCAGGTTTTCCTGCCCCTGCTCTAGACCCTCTCTAACTTCTCCACATTCTTCTTAAAAGGTGGAGCTCAGAATTGGGCACAATATTCTAGATGAGGCCCCCCAGCACTGAGTAGAGTGGCACTATCACCTTCCACATCTTGTACCTAATAATCTTGTTGATGAAGCCCAAAATTGCATTGGCTTTTTTGCAACTGCATCTCTGCTGACTCGTTGTGTCTCTGACCAGCCGAAACCTCTGGACCATTCTCTGTAATGGTACCACCCAGCCAGTTAATTCCCACTTGTGCTTTCAATCATTCTACCTAGATGTAGTGCATTATGTTTATCTGCACTGAACTTCAAGTTAATTGTCTCTAGCCCAGCTCTTCAATGTATCAAGAGCCTTCTGAATTCTACTCCTCTCTTTCAAAGTGTTTGCAATCCTTTCCAGTTGCCTAATTTGCCTAGTGGTGTTTTGCCTCTGTTTGAAATTTGGCTGAGAGGAAGCTGGCAGAGGCTCAGTCCGGGGGTGAACTAGAGGAACTGGTATGGAAGATAGCAGCCAGCTCTTGTGGAAGAATTGATCTTTCATTGTTTGTGTTTGCATTGTTGGACTTGCATCATTCCCTGGATGTAGTTGAACAGTTGATTTCAAGAGTGCTTGAGTCTGCACCCATTGTTTAACCGTGAAAAGATTGTTCCTTAATGACTTTCAAAACCTATTTGTTCTTTAAATTTATTTCTGATGGGGGGGGAAAATTAGGTCTTGTGGTGATAGGACAGAATGAATCTTAATGTTGTAGGTTTGGAGAGTTTTTTGTTAATCTGGCTTAATATAATTTTGTATGTTTGAAACCAGGGGTGGCTGCATCTTAAGAGAGAAAAAACAGCACAAAGACATTAATTACATTGGGGGTGTCAAACATATGGGCTGTGGAGCCGTGTGATCCAGCCATGGGGTTGCTGGAATGACTCCAAGCGCCAGCATTACCCCTATGCACTACATGTGTCATGTAGGCTGACCCAGTGACATCCTGAACATGGAACAGGGGGTTAATCTGGGGCTTGTGTATTGCCCTGTGGGATCAGGCCAACTCTCAGGATCTCAGTATTGTGCTGTTAGACAGGAGGGTAACACAATTGCACATATACAAACACACAAATCAATTTGGTGTGCGCGCGCGCACACACGCACCTCCCCCAACTCAGGCACATGCATACCTATCACCAATTCAAGCACATACACTATACACCCCAAAAATTAGACAAAAATCAGTTGTCCATACCCGCACACTCGGTACACATACACAGATCGCTAATGCATATATCATGCACACAATGATGTATGTGTGTATATGTACGTATGTATACACACTCACCAGTTCTCACACATACAACCCACCTACACATACACACAGGTAAGTTCCAAACTTGGATGGTACAGTGTGTATGTGTGTGCTTGGGGTACCTGGGATACTTGGGGGAAGGTTAAGGTGAGAGAGAGTTAAAGTATAGGGAATGAAAGTTGCCAGAACTGGGATTAGAACTGGTGGACTAGAGAGCAGCTAGCTGAGGAACTGAGGCTTGTGTTTACTTAAGATCAAGTGGCCCTAGGGTTACTCGAGGTCACTGGTGCAAGGAGGGGGAAGCCTGGTAGCAAGGAGGAGACAGCCAGGAAAGAAACAGGCAGAAACCTGGTTGCTCAGGGGAAAAGGCAGTGGGGATAAGACAGTGGCAACAAAACGGGGTTTGGAGGCAGAGAGGAGCTCAGGACAGGTGTTGGAGGTGGCAGTGAGCCAGAAGCAGGAGAGGGAGAAAGACAGAAGTTAGAGGGGCGAGGAGCAGAGATTGGAGCAGGGCTGAACCATTGTAAAGCAAAACCCAACTCAGGGGTCCAAATAACAGGTTTATTAAACAGACAACATGCTACACAGCCCCATGAAGTTATTGGTTCACACGCACACATGCACTCACAATGGCAGGAGGAGAAAGAGACTTAATGGAAGGGTTGGAGTCCAGGTAGGGAAGAGAAACAGAGTCCAAGTCCTTGGTTGAAGAGAGGTTGGGGGTGATAGCTACCTATCCAGGCTGGAAAGGGGTCCTTGTCCAGTAGGTGTTGTTCAGAGCGGGGTCGCCGGCAGGGCCTCTGGGTGGATAGGTGGTGTTGTGGCATGGTGCTGGTCCAGATGGGGAGGGCGTCCCAAGGAGTCAGTCTTCACTACCCCCTTTTATGGGGCAGACTACCTCTCATCTCTTATGGGGAGGGCCTGTCCAGGCAAGATCAGTCCTGTTCCAGAGGGCTGCTGGTGTTTTTACTGAGCGTGTGCAGCTTGGCACAATGGTGGGTTGCCTCATCTTTTGTTTCTTGAATGCTGAGGGTGGTTCCAAGGGCTGGGTCGTTGGTCCAGGTATTGGTGTTGATGGTTCGGTCATTCAGAGGAAGCTATTTTTAGACCTACTGCCAGTGTCTCTCAAGCATCCTCATTCATCCCCATTCATTCAGGAACCAAGTTACATAGGAGGGGTAGTATGAGTCATAGGGTACACAACTGGGCATGGGGATAAGATGGAGGCTTGACATTACAAGATGGAAACTTGACATGACTTATGCTAACTTACATATGTAGGCCTAAAACAGTAATCACACAATATAAAAGCAGTAAAAAATCAATACAAACATAATAATTATCACTTATAAAACAGTGGATGTCTATATCAAAATAGCAGGGCACTTACTTGCAAAGGGGGGAGAGAAAAATAAAACTTACTACCTAAAATAAAATGTTAAAGCTTATCCTACATCTTATCTTACTTATATTTATCTATAGGGAATAGAGAGGGAGAGAAAAAGTCAGAAATGGTTGGGGAAGGGGAGGGAATGCATTTTAAAATAAAAACAAAAAAACAAAAAACCTGGGGGTTTTGTTACACGTGCTGCTTGCAGCACCCTGCTGGGCTGGCTTTGCATGCATCTCTGGGGTTGGTCTGGGTAGGGCTATGCTGGAGCCAGTGCACAGGGCCAGTCTGGCAGGGTGCCACATGCAGTGCACATCCCAGCCAGACGCTCTGTGCTATGTGCTGTATGTGTGGTCACTCTAGCCCCATGCACTACATGCAGCCAGCCACAGCTTGTTCAGCATGTGGAGCCAGCACAGGGTGCACGCTACCCACAACACGTGGGCTGGACCTGGTGCTGCACGCAGCGCAGGGGGTCCAGGGTGCATGCTGCATGTAGTACCTCAGACCAAGCCCCCGTGCTCCCTGCAGTTCTAGGTTCAGCCCAAACACTGTGGGCAGCGTGCACCCTGAGCTGGCCCTATGTGCCATGCGCACAGCGAAGCCTGGGTCCAGTGCTTTGTGTGTGGCCCAAGGGTTGGACCCATTGCCATGGAAGCTGCATGGGAATCAGTCCCAGTGTGGCCTGTAGACTAGCCCAGCAACCATCATCTGGCCTGTGAGGCCAGAAGAGTTTGACACCTCTGCATTACATGGTAGCAGAGCAAAGTTTGCCTGATGTAGCTAAGAGAAATGGCTAAAGTTAGATACTATCTCATTCTTTGTGTATTCCCAGCAGAAAGAATTCACATCAAAGAAGAGGGATGACTTTGAAGATATCTTGGAGGAGAGGCGGCAGTCCAGTGACCTGAGATACGCAATGAAATGTTTCAACCCTGTTGTTTATAAAGGGCTTTCACCTTGCAAGCCAAGTGCTATTAAAACTACCGTTCTACATTCTGACCAAGTTCAATATGTTATCAGACAGGTAAGTCTGGACAGACAGACCGTAAAAGAAGTCGAGGAGAATGTTGCATAAGACATGGCATAAATTTTCTGTTGGTTAGGTTACCTGCTTAAAGTTGGGCAGAAGGCAGGACAAGGTGGCACCTTAAACTTAAAAGACTAACTCAGACAGTCAAGGGGTGTGCCCTTCGGAACATGTCCATTCATAGCATCTGATGAAAATGCATGCCTTTCTAAACAAGTTAGTCTTTAAGGTGCCATCCTGCCTTACCTTCTACCTTACTTCATATGCATTAACACAGTAAACTATTTCTTTCTACTTATAGTTGGAAAGACAAAAATCCTTGCCTCTTTCATACTTTCTGGACCATCGTGGCTATAAGGCAAGAATTTTTATCTTTCCAACTATAAGTAGGAAGAAGTAGTTAGCTGCGTTAGTGCACATGAAGTATGGCAGAAGGTGGGGCAGGGTGCAAAATAAATAACAATTTACTACAAAGGACTGCCATCTTGGACATTTGTTGGTTAGTAGGGCTATGTGAAGCTTCAGTCCCTGATTTGATTCAGCGGAGGTTTGGCCCAATTCAGTGGCCAAATCTCCAAATCAAATCAGAGGACCATTTAATCTCTCTGAATCGAATCGGAACCCTCTGAATCGATTCGGCAATTCGGGACACAGCTTTAAATGCTTTTTCTATGTACCTCTAGGTAGCAGGGGCCCATGGATGCTGTGATGCTGGGGCTCATGGAGCATCCCATAGAAGCGCAGGGAGGTCCCCAGTGTGCTTGGCAGCAGACCCAGAAGTGGACCAGAAGCACTTTCGGTCCACTTCCTGGTCCACTGGGGAGTGTGCTGGGGGGCCCCCCTGTGCCCTCCCAACTTGGCGACTGGTGCCTCCTGGGTCTGGGGGGGCACTTGGGGCCCCCCTGCAGCCGATTGCTAAGCCAGGGGATGTGGGGCGGGGGCCCAGTGGACCTGGAAGTGGACCAGAAGTAGTTCCGGTCCACTTCCAGGTTTGCCACTAAGCACATGGAGGGCCCCCCTCCCCCCACACTCCTGTGGGACGCTCCATCTGCCCCAGCATCGCAGCATGCACAAGCCGCACTGGTACCTCGAGGTATGTAGAAAAAATTTTAAAGCCATATCTATGTCCAAATCACTGATTCTCCGAATCAGTATCGACTCTTCAGATTCGGATTTGGCCAGATCAAATTGGGGACAGTGATCCGAATCAACGAATCAAATCACTGTCCCAGATTTGGGCTAAATCCGAATCAAATAGGGCCTGCTTCTCACACCTCTAGTGATTAGCATACTAGCAGCCTTTTGGTTTACAGTGATGGATGTACAATTTGATAAAAAGTCAAGCTAATCTTGGTAGAAAGCAGCATTACAAAACACAAAAGCATTCTGCTTCCTGAAGCAGTTTTTTTGCATTTTGGAAGGATCTGACAAATTCTATAGTAGTTTTGTATTTGAAAGGGGGTTAAAACAGAGCATAAATTCTTTATATGTAAAAATAGATGCATTGTAGCATTTAAAAAGCTTTTAAATTTGGACTCCTGCTGCAATTTTGTCTTGACGATCTGAATTGACATTGTTGACTGATACTGTCATGACCCAAAAGGCATGATTGTGTGTGTGCGCTTCGACATCAGAATTATCCACGTTAAGTTGCAGAGCATTGCACGGGAGTTTCCTGTAGCAAGAGGAAACCCCGGTGCAGGGACCAGTTTCTCGCCTTTTCTGCAGCTTCTTTTGCAGAGTGCATTGCTCGAGTTGCAAGAGGAATGCACGGTGCAAAAGAGTTCCCGCCACCGGTATGCAAATTCGTTCCCCGTGATTGGCTAGTGCTAAATTATTCACACGTGGCGGCTAGCGATTGGCCTGTTAGCCATATAAGAGGCTTGAGCGGTTTCCGCCCAAGCTGAAGAGGACTCCACATCCATCTCTGAGATCCAGAGGAGCGTGGCGGCCTGATCCATCGCCCACCTCTTCCTGTCTTCGAGCGCGACTAATATAAGACGTATTTACGATTTCTACATTGGTGGCCTGTTCACCCAGAGCATCCGGAGCTCTGCACCGTGGAGCCTGGCAACCTCCACAAGACCGTCTGTGTTGTGTCTGTCTGTAACTGCAACTTAATCAAGCTTTCCAGCCTACACCATTGCCATCT